TACGTCTTCTCTAGGTGGTTTTATAATCACTTTCCACCTCCCTTTGCCTGTCCGTGTACAGGTCCACCGCAGTGCAAGGCATTTAATGATTTGTGGATAAATAAACTGATACCCGCTGATTTGCCATGTCACTGCAAGCAGATAAGATGTGGTAGAGTGGCCAGGGGCCCAAAATTGAGCAAAAGAAATTACAAGGTAAACACACACACACACACACACACACACACACACACACACACCCCCCTACTGTCTTTTCCTTGCTCGCATGTGTCATTCAACAAAATCGACCAAGAACATTATGAAAGCTCACCCAATGGGGAAACTTGCTTCCCTGTCACTGAGGTTGTATCCTATAAATTATTTCCTTGAATTAATGTCCTTCCTCCAGGAGCTAAGTTATTTTGAAACATAAAACCTTTTCCAGAAATTCCTCACATCCTTACAAGAAGATATTCCAGTGCTTCAAACTCAGTGACTCGTCCCCCTAAAATATCTTCTTCACAGACAGATTTTTAAGATCTTAATTACAGAGACACCATGTATGGTGTCTAGTCCTCAAACACCGTGCTCTTTAAGAACGGGAACTTTCGTCGGCCCTGGCAACTATGGTTTCATAGGATTCTGCACTCCCACTACCACCCCCAACCCAGACTGACAGGTCCCCTGGACCAAGGTGAAACCATCAGACTTTACTCCAGAGAATGAAAACAGGGATTCTGGAATGTTAGTTGAGTCTCTGTTGATCTCAACTGAGGCTGGGTGGCCATTGTGAGGCAGCCATCTTGAGCCATATGCACGGAGAAGCAGCCAAAGCTAGATGGTAAGTAGGTTGGGGCAGAAATTAAGGGCACATGCAGAGAAGCAAAGATGAGGGCCATAAAGCTCCGGAGAAAACAACTAACACACCAGCTGTCCTTCGGACTTTCGGGTTCCTGGTTCGTGGCCCCAGTCTTCTGTGAACCCTGATCGCATTTCCTGCACTTGGGTCCTGAGACATATCCTGATCTTTGAGTGTATTATGCCATTTTTGCTTAAAGGAGCTTGCAGCCATGATAAGCTCCCTCGAGTAAAAGATATTCCCGATATCACATGAGAAGGGTGGGCTACAACTGTTATTGCTCAGCAGCAAAGGAACAAGCCCACCACCTTGCAACCCATTTTCTTTTACTCATAACTTACTGCTGAGGCATCTTTTGTCTGTGCTGCTTCAGGCGGGCTGATCTATCTGTTCACAGTACAACTCCCGTGACCCCACTGTCCAGAACTACTCCGGTCAGGGATCCTCACAACCAACCTTGTTAGCAAATACTTTTCCTGCAAATAACAGTGGGAAAACATTAGCCCAGCGCTCCACTTTCTTCTTCAATGTTTGGGTTTTGTCTTTTTGCTGCTGTAAGCTTGGGAATTAATCGAGTGGGAACTACAGGAGCCTACCATTCGAAAGTACATGGCAATGGAAGCTCTATGAGGCAGAGATTATGCCTGTTTACCTTGGTATCCCCAGCCCCTGCACAGTACCCCCACACAGAGCGAACGCCACTGAGCAAATCCAAGGACGGAAAAGAGAATAGTCAAGAACCCAAACTCTGGAGTCAGACAGAACTGGGTTAGAATTCTAAATCTTCCGCTTACAGCCTCATAACATTCACGGGGGCACAGAATTCCACTAAGAATTTTATTACGTTATCTTATTTAATGCTCCTTCCCCCAAAAAAGCTTTAAGGTATTATTACCCCTCGTTTTACACTTGGTGAAAAGTAAGCAACTTACCTGAGGCCACAAAGTTCCTGAGCCCAAGCCTAAGCCCCTAACACCTAAGATAAACTGCTGCTTACCACTCACTTTGTGACCTTGGGGGAATGATTCAATCACTCAGTTTGCTGAAGTTTGTGATTCTGAAGACTAAATCAGATAGACAGTGTTTATAAAGTGCTTAGCACAGGGCCAGACCAGGCAAACTGCTCAATAAAAAGTAGTTACTATTGTTAAAGTTACTAAATAGTGAGCCTACACTGAGATGCTTCAAGCAGGAAGAACATTTGGTTCCATAAATTACACGTTCTCTGGAAAACAGCCATTTCCAAGATCTAGGCAGCCAAAGCAAAAGGAGCAAATTATGACCAATGTTTATCTTGGATATGGTCTAAATTCTCCAAAAGGCAGTAATAGATAAGAAATCTCTTGATAGCCTGGAAGCAATGACCATGCTGGAAGTTAGGGGGCGCCATGCTGCTGTGCATTTTAGGAAACCACTTCCCCAGAGGGTCTCCAGCACCCTTGGATTTTTCTCCAACAAAGTGAAGGAAGATAAATTCTGACTGGTAACTTTTTTTTGGCAGAAAGGGAGGAGCCTTTAATATTTCTTTCCATTCTCTTCCACGGTTTCAACTTTAGGTCCAACATATATATTTCTATTTTATTCCCTATGCCTTTGCTTTTGCTTCACTGAGATAAAGGGCATTCTTGCATTATTCAATGACCTTTAAAAGTCCAAGGAAAAAAAGTATTTAATTAGGATGAGCGGGTTAATACACATAACCCCAAGAAATATCTAAAAAACAACTGGTCTAAAACAAATGTATAAATTGGCGATCGTTGAAAATGGGTCATAGGAGCATAACTCATTACACCAACCTCTGTACCTCATATACATGTTTGAAATTTTCCATAATAATACATCATAAATAAAATTTGAAAATAAATGTACACATTCTACCTTTTAAAAATTTAGTTTCTACTGAACACCTGCTTGGAGGATGCAGCAGGAAACTGGGTTTATATCACTACTCTGGGAAGCAGCACAGAGTAAGGCACTCAGTTGAGGGAAGAGAAGAAAGTTAAATTAATGTGAAACTAATGTAAATCATGTAGATGCTTTCATAAGACCCAAGGGCACAAAGCTAAGGAGAACTGTGTAACAAGCAAATCAAACTTTTTATTTTTGACTCTAATAATTGTTTGGTCAAGCCTGGTTTACATTTGGCTCCAGTTGGCCACGGAATATCCCAACCTAGAGATGATTTTTCGAAAGGACAGGAATGAAGAGCTTTGTGCCAAGACAACCAAAGAAAAGCTGGAGATCTAGGTTATGGACAAAAGATGAATTTCTCTTTTCAATTCAGTGACCTTCTGAAAGGGTTAACTGAGAAGTTACTTGTTCTACCCAGAAGATATTCTATAACTGAAGAATCTTATCTAGAGATCTTTCTTTTTCCTTACCCAGACGTACACAGTGTTTCTCATTCAATTTGTTGAGTCAAATCCTAGCCTACAACCCTACCACGGACAGTCCTTTAAGTCACAGGTAAATACAAATCCTTAACTTTCAAATTTGTTAGTGACATCTTTCTACCAATTAATTCTGACCTCCCTCTGAGCAAATTACTTCCCAGAATGCCGGGGGGTAAAATTCTTAGCACCTGAGTTGAAATGAAACTTGAAAAACTGATAAGAAGCCATCTGCTCTTCCAGATTGAAGCAACAAGCACTTCGGTAACACTGAGGCTAGCCCTTCACCCCCCCCCACCATTCCCGCCCCAGGAGGCAAGGTCACTCAGTGCAAAAACAAAACTAACCAAGACAAATGGCTTTCTAATCACCCAAATGATAAAAGAGTAAAGAAACACTTCAACGTCAACCTTCTACAGAGTCCAGGTAACTGAATTTTCCCCAAATCAAAATTTAGAAAGCAGCATTTTCTCTCAAGATTTACTTTATTTGTGTCTGATTAATAAGTGCTCTCAGACATTCTATTCCTGTCCTCCCGGCTTGAAAGGAATACAGCAATGTGTTTTCTCCCCTACTCTGTTCCTCCACTCCAACCTCTTCCTTCCTACACATGCCAGTCTTCACCCTTTATTAAAAATGTCCCCTCAGTCTACGAGACAAATGAGACGATAATGGTACGTTTTATCAAAGGGTCCATCTTGAACTGAGAAATACTACACATGTTGTTAAGAATGGTGCCCCTTTCTTATGCTAGCACGCTGTGCCTCACTGTGTTAAAGTTCTCTACAGCTCCCCGTGCACCTTGACCAGTGCGCAATAAAAGGGCAAATCACTCAGAACTGCCACGGGAAAAGCACTGGATTATCATTTGTAGAGAAGACTGAGTAGCCGGACTATCCCAAAGTAATGTACATGGACTTGCATGGCTGTACTTCACGTTCCCATAGTTCTGCCAGTGTACCTGTAAATGTTTCCAAGATAAATTACCATCCAGGGAGTCACTTCTGGCTGTGTGAACAAAAACATGGTCTCTTCCCAGAGGTACTTGACTTCCTTCTCCCCATCACTTAACTAGTTGTTTTGAGTGGATCTGATAGTTAGGAAAGGGAAGGTGGTGGTGTAGGGCTCAGCACCAGCAGCAGAGAATCTTCTAATCAAGTGGGTGATCTCCTAGTGTCCTGGGTGCAACAAGCCAAGGGCACCACTCACTCAAAAGTGAAAAGCAGCTTTACTCTTTCACAGGTCAAACTTTCTTCTCACCTGCCAAACTCCACACACCAAATGCCACACCGAAAAATCACAACTGTCTCCAGAATTCTTGAGGAGTGCTTTTTTTTTTTTTTTTTAGGAATACCCTCTGAACACAATGAAGTACAATAGTAGGTGACTTTAAAGTGGCCATTTAATATCATGAATTCACACGTGTCTCAGATCATACGCAGTGTTTCGAATAACCTGTCCCTCATCTGGACCTTTGAGAACCTTCACGTATTAAATTCAGACCAAAAAAAAAAAAACCACAGCTTGTCTGGTTTGACCCACCAGACCCATTATTTCGGTTAACAGAAAGTCATCGTAACGATACACCTGAGTCCCTTAGCATGGATTTTCGCTCGGAGGAGGGGTGGAGGAGGGGGAGCCAGACCGACTGCTCGCTCTCGGTGAAAAACTAAAGTTCACTTGCAGCCCTGCGAAGGCAACAGACAACGGGCTCCGAAAGTCCCCAGTCCCCGCGGGCTACAGCGGCGGCGGGGAGCCCGCGCGCGTCCTACCTTGGACCTTTCCTTGACGTAGTATTTGCCCAGCCGGCTCCCGCAGTACAGGACAAGCCTGTCGATGAGGGACAGGAGGAAGCTGATGGCCTCGCAGCCCTCCTCGTTGCCCCCGATCCACGTGATCTGATCGCCCCGCAGGTGCCGCTTGGAGACGCCGGCGCGCGGCCCCGCCAGCTGGCCGTCCCGCAGGGCCCCGTTGCAGTGCAGCTGCTTGACGCGTTCCAGGACGCAGTCGCCCACCACCTCGCCGAGGAAGTTGTCCAGGTAGCAGAAGCCCACCTCGTGCAGACAGGGCACGATGTACTCCAGGGCGATTTTCTCCAGATCCAGCCTCATGATGTGTCCCAGAGGCATCTCGCCCTCAGAGCCGAGCTCGGGGATCCCCAGCGTGCACGGAGACCCGGAGCGACCGACGCGCGCGCGCAGCCGAGGCGCGGAGAGCGTGGCCCGGGGTTCAGCTACCTGCGGCGGCCACGGTCCCCGAGCCGCCGCCGCCGCCGCGCCAGGGAGAGGGGAAAGTTGTGCGAAACTCTGGGAGGAGGGTTCCCTTCAGAGACCAGTGGGAGCTGCGCGGGGCTCCACGACCCGGCGCCGGACTGGCCCAGCGAGACGTCGAAGGGCCCCTTTTGGAGATGCCGACCCACCCCTGGTGCCGCGGCGGCCCCAGGCGGGGAGAGGATGAGGTCCGGCCTCCAAGCCGGCCGACTCGGCGCGTCACGGGCCCCGCCCAGGCCCCGCCCCAGGCCCGCCTCCGGGACTGCCCTTCCCGGGCCCGTCCTCCGCTGCCCGGCTGCCGCTGCCCGGCTGCCGCTGCCCGGCGCCAGCCTCGGTTGTTTGTGACTAGAGGAGAGGCTGGAGAACATACGGAATTTTTAGACTGAGATCGATTTGCATATGTTTGGCATAAAATCCCATCACAAACTTGAAAACCTGGATCTCAAACTCTGAAAATGAAATTAGCACGGTTTCCGGCCGCGTTCTGAGCTGGTCACCTCTTGAACAGAGCAACAGACTCCGGAACAAGTATGTGTATTCAACAGTGATCTCGTTCTAGCTTTACCTGGTGCCTTTCCTTATTCCCCTTGCCTCTGCTGTTTGACCCAGGTCAGGAGACTCAAGCCACTGAGAGACTGGGAGAAATCCACTTTTAACGAAAATTAAACATTTCCCTAACCCCTGTGTCCCCAAAGCCCTGTGTCTTTTCGATGGGGTGGGGGGGGGGAGAGGGAGAGAAGGAGATGTGCACAATGAAGAAATGCAGGATATTATCTGACTGAACCCTGAAAATGCTGTATTTTGCTTTGCTGGATGTTTTCATCGACTTCTCTTTCAAGCTTCTTACTCAAAAAGGGTGTTCTGAAAGTTTGCCTTCAGAATTAATCACATGCTCATGTAACAGCCATCTAGGTATATCCGCCAAAAGACAGACTAAATTCTAGGTCTCCAATCTCACTTTTTCTACAAGAAACTACACTTGCATAGGAGGGATGGACACGACCTAAAAGACTTTTTAGTTATCCAAAGGTAAGCTGACCACTTTATGGAGTTTTTTCATTCCCTTTCCTACCGAACACCAGAGATTAGAATCAGGGAAAAAAGATTCCTAAATTACATGCAAAGTCACTTCCATATTCTAAATTTTACATTAGATTGCATTCAGGTTCTTCATTTAAATGGAACAAAAGAATGTACAAATTTTACAGGTACTGTGTTTTTGTACACATCCTCTACAGCTTTTTCACTTTTATTCTCCTTCCAATAGCCCTCTCCACTCTGCATGCTAGGGGAGAGAGATGAAAGGAAGAAACAGTGAAATCCTAGCCAAGAACAAAGAGTAGAATAGGAAAGGCGCTGCTGCTACCTGATGGAAAGAAGCAGACAGGGGCACTTGGTGGAGCAAGAACCTGAGGAATGTTCCGGAGGAGCGGTCAATAAGAAACCTTTGGTGAAACTTCTGTTATCCTGAGAGGAGTTTCTCTGCCAGGATGGTGATTAGTTGGTACTGTTAGCATGACCCTTCAACAGGAGCTGCACCAAATGGGGTAAAGTCTTGACCTGGCCAGCCTCAAGGAGCTGTTGTCCAAATTTCCACAGCAGCTTCATGATGACAGGGGCCCATCCTCCTGCCCCCCCCCCAAGTCCCTGGCACCTAATATGTGCCTGAGAAATAGTTACTGGGAACCTGGTGTGTAACCCTGAGCCATGGCAACCTCCATGAGGGTTTGGGGGCATGTCTGGACTTGTCTGAAAGGCTACAGAAGGGTCCATTTGCTTGAGGACCTGGGGAACGTCCCCAAAGAGAAGCCACTGGAAGAGTGTCTGGCAGATCAGCCTGGTCCAGAACAAAACCGTGGAGGCCAGTGAAGGAGGCAGTTGGGCATTCTGCAGGGTATTTGTCTCTTGGCTTTGTCTCCCCATCCAGCCATAGTAAATGTTCAAGTCCTGGGAGCAGGAGACCTAAAGCGAAAGCTGAAGGACTGACTGTTCATCTGTGGCAAGGAGGGAAATGGAGATGCCATACCGAAAGGGAGGAAGGCCCTTCTCCCACTTCTGCCGGATCGCCCACGTAGCCAGGAACTGCTCTGGCCCATTCAGTGATCTCCTCCAGGGGCATTATGGATACTGGGGTAACCAGGAGAGATGTGGTCTGAGGTGGCCTGAACATGGGTCCTGTTAGGCCGTGGCTTGTAGTGTTTGCAGCTTTGGGGTCTGTTGTAGACCTTAGAAGTTGATACCCTGAATGGAAAAAGGAGGAAATGACAGATAATCCTTGGTAGCTGGCTGAAATTTTTCTAGCTAAAACTTCTCTGCAGATACACCTGACACTCAGAGTAGTAATTAGGAGGGAACTTACAGAGGGCTGGAAATCTGCAGTAGCAGGTGGGGGAAGTGGCAGTCAGCAAAATACAGAAAATTGCGTACCCATCTCCCAGAATGAACATATTGACCCAGGACTTTAAATCCCAGGACTGGGTAAATTAGGCTTACTAGGCAACTAATGCTTCAATAGTTTTAAAGCTGTAACTAGTCTAGCTGTAACTAGAGCAAGAGTCTATAAACAAGTTCTAGTGACTGACAGCCTTCAACTGTTCTAGATGATTTGGTTGCACAATGTGGGCAGTTTAGAAGGGTGTTCAATCCCTCGCCACCCTTCCTGCTCAGCAAGGGCACCTATTAATCAAGCCTCCCCACCCCCAACCCCGATCCATTTGGGGCTGCCAGCACCGCACTTGGCAAAGGAGCCCGAGATACTGTGCCTGGCAAAAAACACAGTGTGTGATTACACAGAGGGGAGCAGACTGGCTGGAGCCGCGTGCAGACTCGGAGGCTGAGCCTCAGACTGGCAAACCCCAAGCTAAGTGTTAAAGTACATGTGTTTTCGTTATTTACCCATTAATTTGTGGCATTAGAATAATATTAAGATGCTTTTTATATTCATAACTAAAACAAATTAATGTCCATGTCATTTAATTACAATGATATTGTCTTTCAGGGTACATGTGCGGTACAGATGCCGTCATTTTCAACCATGTGGTTGAGTCAGGGAGAAAGAAGCAAGTTGAATTTCTTTGCCTTCAAAGTTGAACTGAAAGGGATCCCAGTGGTCACTCAGTCCAACTTCATTTTCCTACAGATGAAACAACCAAGGCCCCAAGGGGTTGGACCTCAGCTCTTAAGTAAGGAGTCTCTGGTAAGTGGGAGAGGAAACCTAGAATGCCTCTTGTCTTCTCAACTAGAACAAAGAGAGCGCTCCCTCTCATCCTCTTATGTATTTGTTTCTTTTCAATGAGGTAAAAGTGACAAAACATAAAATTCACTCATTTAAAGGGAACAATTCAGTGGCACTTAGTATATTCGTATGTTGTGCAACCATGGCCTCTGTCTAGTGCCGAAACATTTTCATCACTCCAAATGAAGACCCTGTACACGCTAAGCAGTTACCCTCCCAATTCCCACCTCCTCCCAGCCCCTGACCACCACCAGTCTGCTTTCAATCTGGATAGTCCCCATAAGTGGAACCACAGGATATGGGACCTTTTGTGACTGACTTCTTTCACTTGGCATGTTTTCCAGGTTCATCCATGTTGTACCATGTATCAGTACTTCATTCCTTTTTATGGCTGAATGATACTCCATTGTATGGATACACCACTTGTGTTTATCCATTCATAAGCTAGTGGACATCTGGGTTGTTTCCACCTTTGGGTTATTTTGAGTAATGCTATTATAAGCATAAAAATGTAAGTATTTGAGTACCTGCTTTCAATTCTTTGGGATATATATCCAGGAGTGAAATTGCTGGGTCATATGGTAATCCTATGTTTAACTTTCTGAGGAACCACCGAACTATTTTCCACAGCACCTGCACCATTTTACATTCCCACCAACAATATGGTGGGAATGGGAGAGTTCCATCACATCCTTTTTTTTTTTTCTTTTCTTTTTTTTAGAGAAGGAGAGAGAGGCAGTGGGAAGGGGCAGAGAAAGAGGAAGGGAGAGAAACTTAAACAGGCTTTACACCCAGTGTGGAGCTCGACATGGGGCTCAGTCTCACAACCCTGAGATCATGACTTAATCAAGAGTCGGACACTTAACTGAGCCACCCAGTTGTCCTTTTTTTTTTTTTTTATCTCTGATGAACACTGTCTACATTTCTTCTGCCCTTTCAGTGTCCTGCTGTGCCTGATGTTCCCTCTCTCCTAGCTGCTACCCGAATATTCTTCCTTGTGTTTTTGCCATGACACATGAAGACGTTGATCCTTACATTGAATGACTTGAATGCGGGCAAGGGCTATCTCACTTGTAACATTTACCACATTCCAGGCACTGTGTTAATGTGTTACAAATATTACTTCCCTTAATTCTGATGACACCATCAAGAAATAGGTACTACTATTATTATTCCATATCGTGAAGATGATGAAAATGAGACATAGAGAGCCTAAGGAACTTGTCCAAGTCACAAAGTAAGAGAGTATAACCGCACCGGACAAAATCGGAGAGATTCCAATGCAGTAAAATCAGGGGAAAAATCATTTTGGGCCACTTGCTTGGCATAGCAATGTTTTCGCCCTTAAATACTCTTTTTTTTTTTATAACTCTTAATTATAACACTCTGCAATGACAATTTTAATTATTGGTTCCCTTACTGTTATTTGGTACAGAAGGGAGATAAGCAAAACTTACCATAAATTAGTCAACTGCATTAAAAGTAATCTTTCAAACCTCCAAAGTACAAATTAAGATTTGCTCCTTGCCCCATTCCACCAGTTCTGGCCCATTGTTTCCAGGAATCCCACATAAATCCAGTAATATACAGTCTGTTGACAGTAGTCAAGTAGTCCTTGGTAATAAGCCACACCTCAGTCCACTGGCTTGCGTGGCTTACCCTTCAGGACACAGAAAGTGCATTTAATTTAAATGGAGCTAGTGAAACAAGAGGAGAATGCCTGAAGGGAATTTATGCTCCAGCTCCCTGCTATGAATTGGATTTGAAAAGAAAGATGCATATGATTATGTCCCATTCCGTGAGTCAAGCCATCCGACTCCTTTCCGGGTCTGGGGGATGGCAAAGAAAGCGACTTTCTATATGTGCTTTTTGTTTTGTTTTGTTTTGTTTTGTTTGTTTGGGTTTGTTTTTTTTTTTTTTAGAGGGGGGTAGGGGCTGAGGGAGAAAGAATCT